TTTAGATCCTTGCTCTCCAACTACAGATATTAGTTAAAGATGACTGGCTTAAGATGAGAGCACAGAGATTAAACCCTTGAGAAAGAATCTGCTCAAGGGTCAAGACAGAGTACTCTGAAGGCAGAGCAGGTGCTGAGGAAGTGGGGCAAACGTTCCATTCAGGACATCTGCAGCAACAGGAGCTAAGGCCTCCAAATAGTGTATAAGCTGCACACTGCAGAATTTCAAGGACACCACTCCAAAAGACCAGCTTGCAAGTAACGCCCTCTGGAGTTGTGCAACTGAGCAGCCCAGGGAAGGGTCAGTGGCCCATTCTGAGGCATATGGATATGTAAATCTGACTATTAGGAGATGAAAATATTTTCTAATTACTTTATCAAGTTATAGTGACTGAATGGCCAACTAAGTTTCTCAATCTTTTTTTTTCTTTTTTATTAAGGTATCATTGATATACAAGCTTATGCTCAGATTTCACATGAGCAACATTGTGGTTACTACATTCCTCCTATTATCAAGTCCTAACAATGTAAGTTTCTCATTCTTGAGTGTACCTACAAACCCCATGGCAGCTTACCAAAAATGAGGACTGCCCAGCCCAGCCTTCCCTAGAATTCAGAATCATCAGCTCTGGTTGGAGGCTAGAAATGAGTGTGTGTTACTTTAAACAACCAGGTTCTTGAAAAATCCTAGCAAACAGAGTTGAGGCTTAGGAGAAGAAAGACATTCTAAGGGCCAAGACAGTTTTACCAAGGAGAAAATGGTTACATTTTAACAAAGTTTATTCCTTCCATCTCAGCTCTATTTCACAAAGTCTAGTGTTTCTGAAGACGATTAATGATGGTGCTCACATATAATCCATAATGCAACTGTCACTAATAACCCCAACCCTAGCTATTTCTTACCACAGTTTTTAAAAGCATGCAGACGACACCGTATCCTCTGAAATGAAGTAGCTATTCTGACAGCTTGCTAAATTTACAGCCACCATTTGCCAAATCATAGGAAATCCACATTGTAGCTGGAAAAGGCCCCTCCTACCTACATATCAGTGTGGCAAACACTCAGGGACATACCTTGTTTTCCTCTTTCATCACCTGTTCAATGAGTTCAGATTTCACTGGAGGTTTTGAATATTGGCCTGAGAGAAGGCCATGTCCTAACTTAGTCCTGGATGGGAGGGAGAAACAAAAAGGTCATTGTTGTTTCCCCTTAGAGCTATTAAAATTACCTATGAATTTCAGTAAGTACAACTGCTGTTGGGGGAACATTTTATGTCAATTACTCAAAAATAACTTACTTGATTCTGCTTGCTACTGATTCCATTT